GGCTTACATCGATCGGTAATTCCACTAGTTCGCCTCTGCATAACTGTACTAGACTGCATCGTAGGCTCGGCGTAAGATTCAGCGATTGTAGCAATGGAGTCATCGTGGGAAGCTTTGGGACGGCCATCCATCTGTCTGTAGATTGGAGTGGACAGACTAACCTACTTGCGGCTGAAGAGTATCGATTCCATCCAATACTCTCTGCTGGGAAGGGAGGGGGGTCGAGGACGTTGAGGGTTTTGGCTCACAGTGAAGGTCCGCCAAAGGGCTCTGGTGAGTCTGCCATTGAGGATGCGCTCCTCAAACGCCTTCACGCGGACCTTGAGGAGTTTCTGCCTGCTCCTGCATGAGGGTACGTCAGCTCGCCTCCTTCCTCCTCCCACTCCTCGTCCTCGTCCTCGTTTCCCTCCTCTCCCTCCCCCTTTTCGCATTTCTTACGTTTTCCATGACTGCGAATCGGACGAGAAGCGATAGAGGAGGACAGGTTCGTCTGCGCGCACTGTTGGCTCCTCCTCCTCCTCTCTCGCAGCGGCACCGGCATCGCCCACCCTCGTCAAGACCCTCCGCCCCTCCCGCTGACCCTCCAGAGCTCGACGATGCGCCGCCGCTGCTGAACTCTCGGCTAGAGCCAACGACTCCAGCTGGAGACCGAGATGCCTACAAGGCTGTCAAACGAGTCTCGCACAGGCAAAGCGACTTGTGAAAGAAGATCAAATCTTCTGCTTCGCCATCTGCTGCAGCGTCAGCCTCCTCGTCCTCCTCCTCGTCCTCCTCCTTTACATGTCGGTGAAGATTCCTCAAAGCCGCCGACGGCCTCGAAGGTTTCTCGCGAGATGAACCAGGTGGGCATGAGAAGAGTGGTCTCACGAAACTGCTGCAGCCACTTGGAGATGGTGAGCGGTAAGGGAGAAACACAAGGAAGAGAGGAGAAGAAGAGAGGAGAGGAGAAGAACAGGGAGGAGCGGAGAAGAAACAAGAGGAGAAGGAGAGGAAAAGGGAGGAGAGGAGAAGAAGAGAGGAGAAGGAGAGAAGAGAAGGAGGGAGAGTGGAACAGGAGGAGAGGAGGAGCAGGAGGAAACGACAAAGAGACAGGATGGAAGAAGTGAAGCACCAGCTGCTCTGCCGTGAGCGTGTTTGCCCATCTCGCGAAGAATTCCGTGGACCCTTTAGGGATCTCGAAGCAAAGAGAATGAGGGAAACGAAGGAGGAGGAGGAGGAGGAGGAGGAGGAGGAGGAGGAGGAGGAGGAGGAGGAGGAGGAGGAGGATTAGGCGGACGCGGATGGCTGTTCGGATTCTTGCCACAAAGCGTTCCGCTGATTCCATGCACAAGCTTGGCTGTTGCCGTGTTGTTCCCTTGCAAATTCTGCCAAGACGCGTTGATAGAGAGGTTCTTGCAGGCCTGAAGCTCGGGGTTCTTGACCACAAAAGAGACGCAGTGGTGGGTGGTATTCCCAAGGTTCTCCACGTTGAGAATCAAGCGATCAGAGTCGCGAGATAAGAAGGTAATGGCAGTCGGTCCGGTCACACCGTCGTAGAGCATGTATGCTCCTCCGAAGCCAGTGATGGAGATGTTGGAATACGTGGACACGGTCTCACCAGCGAGGTCAGTTGCTGTCGTCTTATCCATCAACACATTCACCGAGAAGCACACCGAGATGGTGTTGTTCTCACAAGGGTAGAAGGACGACTGAGTGATGTTCACAAAGTTGATCGTGGGTGTAACAGGAGCAACAGTCTCCGTGGTCGTCGGTGTGGCTATAGTGACATTTCGGAGCTGGTACCACTGAGGGTCGCGTACGACAGATGGGGCCTGCGGCGCATATCTTCCTTCAGGACATGTTGAAGGAGCATCGGGGTGCAATGCCGGGAGAAGAGCAGTCGATTTCCAACTGCTGGATGAT